GCTTGCGTTTGCAGGTGGGCTCGGCTGTAGCCTTGGGCGTTCACATTCAGAACCTCTGCGAAGTCGCCGAACTCTAAAAACCCCAAACGTCTAAACCCGGAGTCTAAACTCAAATCCAATGATCCTAGACTCCAAACCTGCGCAAGGGTCTGTATTGAAGTGAGCTATAGCTGCTTTGACAGTTGATCTGCTTGTTCCTGTGTAATGTTTCGTGAAGTTTTTGTATGTGTGTTTGTTTATGTCAACAATATGTCATGCTTGTTGCTTGTAGTTTGTGGTTGTGTTTGTTTATGTCAACAATATGTCATGCTTGTTGCTTGTTGTTTGTGGTAATAGCATGCAGCCAGCTAACTTCGAAACTTCCAGAACGGACTAGCTCTCCAGCCCTCCCCGGCTACATGCATGAATGATCGTGTTCTTTCAGAAGAGGTTCGAGCAGGAGCAGTTTTGAAATAGATTGAAAGTTTGAACTTGTGACAGCACGCTCCTCGGATTGCTATGGCTCAACCCTACATCCCAGAACCCGTGCTGTGAGATTCAAGACGGAGCACTTTCAGACAAACTTCAAAGCTTAACTTGCTGGAAATCCACAGATCGGCCTGTTTGGGGTTGCGTGCAGGGCTTCGGGCAGACATTGGGATTGCACCGAAAAAGCTTCCTCACTAAGTAGCCAGGCGGTGTCTGCTATAAATCCCTCATGGCGAGCACTTTTGGACTTTTGGGAGGCCTGAGCTCTAATACGGTTTAGGGTTTGGGGTTTAGGGTTTCGGGTTTAAGGTTTAGGGTTTAGGGTTTAAGGTTCAGGGTTTAGGGTTTAGGGTTAAACCCTAAACCTTGGCCGATCCTCGATGCGCAGCATTCCTCAGAAGCAGGTGTCCAAAGGTGCTGCGGAAGTCAAGAAGATTAGGCCCGGCCTTTGGGGTTTTATTGCTTCAGGGGCCAAGAGAGGTACAAGCTCTATCGGGGTCTTACTGAGCTTCGGCTTTCAATTGCTATTCTTTGGTTTGAGAATAAGAGCACCGCTAAATAAAACTATGGTAGAAACTAGAAAGCGATGGTTCATCTTTGCCCCAGGTGTATGTATCTGTATATCTATCATCTATCTGTCTACCTACACGCCTAGCTAGCTGCCTATCTATCTATCTATCTATCTATCTATCTATCTGCATGTGTGTGTGTGTGCCTGTATGTATGTATACGCACACGCACACAGCTAATTTGATTTTTTTTTGGGGGGGAGGGGGGGTAGCTGTTTGTTGATTGATCCAACGGTGTGCACACGTGTTTCTTCATGTAATGAATTGCAGGCGTTTGTCGGTCTCTATGTGTGCATGGTATGGCAGGGTATGCGATGTGTCTACCCAGGCAGGCAAGCTCGCGTGTGTGCGTCTCTGTGCGATGAACGTCTGTAAGTGTGTAGCCAGGCAAGTAATTACATATGCCACACACCTACGCATATATGTTTATTTATGTAATTAAGTATGTGGATTGTTTGTAAGCAAAATTTGCTTGTCAGTACAGGTTTGGTGGTTCGAGCAAGGT